AGAGTGGTCAATCGAGTACAACGAGAGTTTCACCAAACAGACCAAGAAGGCTGTGAAGGCAGCTGCAGCTGTTGTGGAGATGCCCGGACGGGCAGTTCAGGACAGAGACAAGTCCTTGATGGAGCATGTTCTCATGGTGGCAGAGCAGAATGGGTGGCACTACAAAGATGGAACTCCCATCCACGTGGCCCATGGAGCGATGAGTTACCGAAGCCCAGCTCCCCGGTTTGATGTGAACAAGCATCAGGACCGGACTTCGGTTGCCTGCTACAAGAGGACTGATGGCAAGCACGAGTGGAGGATCCTTGAGGAGAGAGCCGACCTGAAGAAGATGGCAAACCTCCAGGCGAAGATGGAAGATCGATGCCAAAGGCCGGTATCCTTTTTCACTTGTGCGGATCCAAAGGCCACATAGAATAGAGGGCGTGTGGAAATGCACCCATGGCCTTTGGATGTGTTTCACTGCGGCCGAACAGGCCTTGAGCATTTGGCTCCAACGGCACAAAGCAGTGTGCGCATTCCGCTTCCTTCGTTCTTTCGTAGGATCTCGGGTGCCGCTGTTTACATATATAATAGTTGGGAAAGGTGGCGCAAAGGATGTGCAGCCTGTGCTGAAGCGATAGAAGGAGTTCCATCTGATGCATCTTGGGCTATCTTGTTATTTTTCAGTGAGTAGCTTCTATAAAGTGCAACTTCACGGAATCACCGGAGCTTTTGGAGGGATTTAGAGACCTTGGGTGGCTGCAATCGCGCTTTTCAAAACGCTCCTGCTCCTTTCTCCGCCAGTTTGATGAAGAGGAGGAGAGGCCCAACTACGAGTTCTTGAGGCAGCCGACTCATGAGGACGAGGGCCAAAACCACAGCACTCGCCGTGCGGCCACGGTTATAGTCTTTGTAGTCCTTTTCGGGTGACTGCAGACTCTGCAGACTGCAAGAACTTCGAGACTTGTTCGGACCTGTGGGCATTTGTGATTACAATGTCTGGGTATTTGTGGGCCTTGGGGTCCGGTCTCCAATCGCGAAATCCGTCCAGGTCTGGGATGCACTGCCGGAGGCTGGGAAGAAGAGGAAAGCCTCAAGCATTCTCGAGAGAAGCAGATTGTGAAGCAATCGTGAAGGACTTCCCGTTTTGAGTGTTTTTGCAAAGCAGAATCCAATCCTTGCCAATGTCTTTAGTTTCTTTAGAGGAGGTCGTTTCACAAAGACGTCTGCCTCGTGGGTTCAAATGCGCAATTCTTGGTTCCAGGCAAATCACAATGACCGAGCGCAAGAGAAACCACAACGCCTGCATCTCAGCATGGGGCATCAAGACAAACCGGCCGAGCTTTGGCCTGGGAAGCCTTGCCGCAAGCTTTTTGAGACCGAACACCGTCATCCAATGAAGATGGACGACAAACATGAGGCCAAATGAGGCTGAGGTTCTCATCAAACATGAGGCTTTTCATTGAGAAGATCGGGGCCACTGCAGGTAACTGCAACTGCCAGCATCGGGGGTCACTGCTTTCCTGGCGCCTTCGCCGTCCCAGGCTGCCCTGGCCCGCGACAAAGCCTATGTCCAGAAGCTCCTGAAAGAGGAGCGGTCAGCTACGGTGGAGGGCGTTGCACTGCTTTGTTCTTTTCTTTTTTCTGCGAACTCATTTAAGGGTCCACCATGCAATAGCCAAAGTGATTTAAAGTGGTCAGCTACGGAAGTGAACGGATGAGACACTCCACAGACAAGCAACAAAATCCCTTGGACATATGACCTTGCCAACTCCATAAGCATCCATTTGTTCTCCCTTGTCAACCTCCCCCAATTTGGGTCGGACTGGACTGCCTTCCCGCGAAGGGCAAGGAGAAGCCGGAGCACCGACTGGCACGGGAGGAGGTCATCGACGAACACTGGTCGGGGCGGAGTGGGCGGTGGGAGAGAACGGAGGTTGGACGAATGCCGAGACATATCCCCGGTGTGGCCGCACTGTAGATGGGACTTAGATAGATGGGCGGGATCGAAAAATACTTGGAACATCTTGAAATACTTTAGTACAATATGTTGTATAAAAACATATATTTGAAGTCTTAAGGAACGAGGGAAAGAAGAGAAGGGGAGAGGAGGTGGGCGTGGCAAAAAGAGATGTACGTTCTACATTTGATGTACTGACCAAATGTATTTCAACAATTCTTTTCGAAACTACTAAAATAAAACAGTTGCTATTTGGTCGAGATGGAAAGCGAGCCTTTCGAAGCAACTCACGCGGCCGCGGATCCGCGTCAGATCGACCCCGGTATTTTCGTCCAAGGCTCCAAGCGGCCTTTGCGCCGGTCACACAGCCTGAAAAATATTTACCTCCAGCCCTGTGCTGCTGGCCTGATTTGAGATCTGAAGCAATCAGAAGTCACTTCGGTCTAGGAATTCGTGCGTCTCATCCGTGAAAAGAAGCCTGCCAGGACGGGGCTGCCATTGACGCGGCAGCAGGTGGGAGCAAACAATGGAAGAGTCCCAAGAAAGTTGGAATTGAAAGCTTTGGCTGGTTCTCGTTTGTCTGAGTCAGTGGCTGCAGGTGAAGCAAGTCACAGATGTGCCTCTTGCTCAGCGTTCATAGCTACTACACATCATGCCATGCATTGCCATGCCAATCTTGTGCCAAACATGCAGTCAGCCCAGCGTCTCTTCAAGTCACACTACCACTGTCAGACGTTTTTCTTTAACTGCAGTAAATATTGTTATGTTTCTATAATCTTTCTGAATGGTCGTTACCCTGCAAGATCCACTTCAGAATCCTTAAAAACGGGTAGCAGTTTTTTTGTTAGGCGTGCGGCCTGATAGCATGAAAACGTTCGGGATAGGATCCACATGGATCCACGAAGCAGAGCCGAAGCTCGATGCACGTCATCCTTTCGCGCATGCGAAAATAACGCTCCGAAGAGAGATCCATGGAATCTGCGGGCGGTGTGAGTGGCGAATCAGTCCACACCGGGAGCCCTTCATTTTCTGGTAGGCTGACCTCCCCTCCCCCAATCGTCTAGTCTGTTCATTTTCGCGAACGACTCTCTCTCTCTCTCTCTCTGGGTGGGCGACTTCGACCGTGCGTTTGACAAGGACCTCGATCACCCGCCGTTCCAGCGCTGTGGCCATGGAACCCAATGAAATGGCACTGGAGATTCCGGAAATCCAGGAGACTCGCCACGGGGGAGAGGCTTGGGAGAGGTTGGAAAAGGACCTGGGTGGTGGGGAAGAATAGCTCAATGAAGTTCATGAGAGCATGGTCAGGGCTCCGAGAAACGAACTGGGTGGATTGGGCTCCGGTTTGGGGATTTGCTCTCCAGTTCATGGGTATGGCCCCTTTTCCTCAATCTTATTGTCCATTCCTTGAATTTCGTTGGAAAAGAAACAGGGGAGCGCAAGATGCGATTGAAGCTGGCTGGAGAGAGCGAAGAGCCACTTTCGCTACATGAGCAAGCTCCATTTGGACCTCGATCATTGATCCAATGTCGATCTCCCTTTGACAGGAAGCCTTCAAGGTCTGCAGCCTCTTCTGTGCTCGGGTGGCCCAGCAAATGCTGCAGTGCACCGCGCGGTCCGAGCAGCACGGTGCTTGGCGGCCGAGGCCCTCACCACGCCGGGCATGAACAATGCAGGCCCTCACAACCGGGTGGCCAAGGACATGGTGTTGGTAACTTGGATGGTGGTGTTTGCACTATGTTTACAGGTGGTCACGAGATTGCTCAAACAGACTACAGCGACTGCGACGTGCCTGCCTTGTGCCAGTAAAGGCCATTGTGGGTAGGCTTTGGTACCCCTTCTTGTGAGTATTTAAAAAGGGCCCAATCATGTGCGCCGGAATGCGCCTCGTTCTTCACGATTCATGTTTGGTGAATGGTCATCGATGATTTGGGGTTCGTTTAATCTCCACATCGAAACTTCGAAACCTACTGCAAGGCTATGGGGTGATCCTGTAGAAGCCAAGAGTTTCCAGAAGACCACCAAGGTTAGCCACGGCACCCCAATTCACACGAAACATGTCGGTGTAATGGAATGGGTCTCCCAACCCCACCCCATGAAAGTCTGTCTTTTGGGGGTCTCCCAAGAAAAGAATGCACAAGCAAAAATGAACCACGTCCTTCTGTAGACTTCTACAGGTCCGAACTGGCCGATCTGGACGGTCCGTGGCGATACGCGCGAGCAAGCGCAGAAGAGGCGGTGACCCTCCAGTGATGAGCAGGTGGCGGCTCACGGGCTGCTACTCATGCGGCTTTTTTGGGAGGGAGAAAGCAGGCTTTGTTTGGGCTGTAAAGCGAAGGGATCCAGATTTCTAGAAAGAAAATAGTACTGTAGCTACAAGTATATAGAAGCTACTAGTAACAAAGGCTTGCAAGGTTGGAGGCCATTACTACTAGTAGCAAGATGCTGAGTGATAAAGCGAACGGATCCCGATTTCTTATAGAAAAAAGATGAAAGAAGTGATTCCATGAGGCGATGGGGCCATGGTAGAGGTAGGGTTTCGCTTGCAGCAGTCGAACTGGGGCAGGCAGACCTTCTGCCATTTGGCCTGTGCAGCAGAGGTGTGGCCTGCACTTGTGGAACTGCACTCTTGGAAAGAATTGGGTTGGAGCTTAGAACAACTCTTTGTCCAAGCCTTTCTCATGCCCTTAAACCAGCACCTCCTTTTCAGTGCTTCAACACCATTTAATTTGTCTCCAATCAACCACTCAGGCCTGGAGGTACTTCTGAAATTGCGCCAAGCATGACATGACGTCTAGCTGAGTTCTTCCTCCACTGGCTGCGACCGCGACCGTGGAAACGCCCAGCCCACACTTAGCCGAAACGCCCAGGGCTTTGCATCGTGGAATGGTGGTCAGCCACGCTTGTGCTGGAGACTCAAAAAGCAACACACACTTTTGAAGTGGCAAACAGTCCCTTGGAAAATGACGGTCAGGTTACTGCGTCGGAGTGCACACCCCTTGCAGTTCAACGTCCTTTTGTATTGCCAGGGTCTGGCTAAGTGTGGGTGATTCGTTTGCCAATATAGGCCTCCTTCTGTTGCCGGAGCCATCCGGAGCCAAGTTGTCACACGAATCCTGAGCCAAGATTGCCGTGATCCAGTCGACCGTTGGTCGTTGATGTGTCCCGAATTCTCGCGCCCTTCTCGTCAGGTCGAGCAGTGCGACATTTTGATAGCCTCACAGAAGAGGTCTTGGTCACGAAGCTCAGAGGTGAAGAGCAAGCATAAGTCTCACCTGTGTGAAGTCAGCAACCCGACAGGGTGAAGCTTTTGGCGGTTGAAGATCGTTCTTTTTTTGGCTCAGAGATCAACCGGTTGATTGATGTTATCGGCTGTTTTTTTCACCTGTTTCTGCTGTTTTTTATTTAGACACCCGAACGACACGTTCCGAGCGTCGGTGCAGAGAGGATGACCCCGACCTGTCTCGTTCGTTTTCTTCGTCCTCACGTCCTCGACGTGACTGAGGGGAAGACCAGTAGCACAGCGACCTCGGGGATTGTCCTCCTGGATTGTCGGTCGGGAAGCCTGGAGATGTAGAGTAAGCAGGTTCTGAGGATTCTTTGGCTGCCTTGGCAGCCCAGTTTTGGTGCCCCTTCTTGCCCAATTCTGCGTTCGTTTCAGGGCCGCTGGGCTGTTTCAGGGGTGGACGGGGTGGATACAGCTGATCCTGGAACATCTTGGACCTCGGTAAGGCCTGAAGACAAACTACAGACACATGAGCGCACATATGAACCATCATTTCACCACTGCACCTGGGTTTCTTCGGTGTTAACCATGTGTTTACTGACCGGTCGTCTAGAAAGGGATTCAAGCTTGATGTTGCTTTGATTCGAAGTGACTCTGGGTTAACACCCCGCAGCCCTGGTATGTTGACCTCCGTAGTTTCATTTGATTCTGTTCATGTTCCCTTCTCAGGCGCCGGGTGTGACGTCCCGATCCCCGAGGTCTCCAGCCGTGGAAAACACCCCCATGGCCCGGCTCTTTGCGAAGATTGCGCAGGTCCGGGGGCCGTTACGATTGGGTTCGGCAGACCCATCAGAATCGAAAACATCTCTTTTTCCATGTCAAATATCCGTGTCACGATGCAATCTTCGACCATCCATAGCAAGCCATGAGAAGATGTTCTTCACAGTTTCGAGTTTCAGAAAGCCTTCGATCCCAAAGAGGCCGAAGTCGTCGTCGGTCGTCAGTCGGAGTGGCTTCCGAAAGGACTTGGTGAAAGACTTCGACAAGGGCTTGGAGTTCGACGCCGTGGCCCAGCGCGGGCGCGCCGAGTTCCAAGCGCGCGACCGGATCTTCACCCGGCTGCTGCCCCAGGCGGGGGACCGGAGACAGAGGCACTCGGTCTATGTCATAACAGGTGACCAGGAGGCGACTAATTAAGCACCTGACACTGCAAAGGGTCTTTTGGTCTGTTTTGGGAGGCAACGGAAGTGGGATATGGTTTCCATCCATCCACCTTGTCCAATCACTGAAGTCCGGCGTGACTGGTCGTCGTCGAGCGCCTCGGTTGAGCAAGGCGGCCAAGTATGCCATCCGTCGCCAGCGCTATGTCAACGAGCAAACGAGTCAGATCAAGCACGTGCTGGAGAAGACTGAGGTGGAGACACGTCCGGCGTTCGCAGCACGAGAGACATGAGACAGACACGAGACATGAGCCGTTCAACATGCCATGCCGCCTCAAACAAACCAAACCTACCGGTGGGTTTCGTATGGTCTCGTCACTCGCCCATCCCCATCCCCCATCGCACAGCTAAAGCGCTTCGCTTCTGGTCCAAGCTCAGCAGCCCTGGGAGGCGAAGCCCAATCAGCTGAGGGAAAGGGAGAAAATGGAGAAAGAGAGGGAAAGAGAGAGGGAGGAGAAGCTGAACTTGCAGGAGGGATTCGTGAGGTGATCGTTGGCGTGGTTGCTTGGGTTGGGCCTGACTGATCCCCAGTTCCTTTTGAAAAGACTACCATTTCATGTGCATGGGCGAGGGACCAGCTCCATGGAATGATAGCGACTTTTGCTGAGTCAACAAACATCCCAAACCCATTGTGGACATGCTTGGTAGTTTTTTTAATTGAAAGTCATTCGGTTCCCTTTCAAACAGGGTCCGCTTTTGAACCACATTCTCTGTCTCTTGTGGCATGGCTTTGCTAGGACCGAAATCGCTTGCAAGTGGCGCGGGACCAAGTCCCACTGCTGAACTTTGCAGTTGAACTCTCTTGCCTAATGTAGACTTTGATTTGATCATAATGTATGTGCAAACGCTTTCACTTTCATGGATGACCATGTCCTTGCATCCGTGGCCATGAAGGGCCCTTGAGCGCGACATGAAAAGCAGTAAGAACCCTGCGCCCTTTGTTTCTTGTGGTTTTGGGCCGTGTGAGGTTGTGAACCCCTGTTGTTGCAATGATAACGCCCCGTTTGGAGTGTGTGTGTTCTTTCCTTTGAATCAAAGAGTCTATATACATGACTTTCGTGACTTCCCTCCGAAAGGGAGCTCGTGGAGCTTCCCTAACCATTTCCACGGCTGGCTCCCCTGAAAGAAAGGCTTCCCCATCGTTTTTTGGGAAAATCCTTGAAAAGGGAGGCGCAAGATTATATTCCAACAGGTTGTTCAACAGCTTTTCCTTTCCCTTTCTCCCGTTGGCGCCCGGTCTGCCACGTCGCTCAGGGCGTCCGCAGTCCGAAGCCCCGCAGTCGTCCTCCCAGCCCGGAAGCCCGAAGGAGCGGAAACCGCCAGCCTCGCGGTGAGTGAGAGGGTGACGAAGCGGTTCCCGGCGCCGACCGAGGGCGGAACTGCTGGCGGTCTTTGGGTTTGAAGAAAATGAGAGCCGGGGGAACAGGGCAGACGACCTGTAGAGAGCGGGGAGGTAGACGTAAGAGTTCTGGAGCGAGGAGGCGGGATGAGGTGGGACATGTAGGGAAGACTCAAAAGGCTGGAACCCGCGTGGTTTCAGGGCCTGTAGGTTGGTTCCTCAGGGTTCTAAGGAAATCAGAAAGTCATATTAAAGTCCATTCAGTCCCTGTTCATCCAATCATGGTGGTACCAAAACATCTCCAGAGAAAACAACAACACCATTTGGCTCCCACGGCAGCGCTGAAACCGCATGAAGAAAGCTCCCTAAATGCTGCTCTTCTTGGGTTCGGACTGCGGAACCGGTGAAGCTGAGGCCGCCTCACGACTCCAAGCACACCATACAAGCCGGACAAGGCGGCGCCGATGGACGGGACGCACCGTGAAATTTCTGGAGAGGACGTGCGCCGTGCGAAGAAGCACAATACATGTTGGTCTACATTGGTTCTTTGTGCTATTGTTGAGCTGTGTCAAGGCCTTGTTAGGTTTGGTCTGACGGTATACCATGCAGCGCATCTCACACGCATCCAAGATGCGCTGGGAAGTTCGACAGTCATGCTATGTCATGCTTCTAGGTGCGCCAAGTGGTTGCCCTTTGGTCCAAAGTGGCGACACCAACATAATATTTTCAGCGCGGAAATTCGGTGGAGCCACTGATGGCAGAGACCCAGACAGCCTGGCCCTTTTGACCCTGAAAGTGAAGTGAGCGGTGAGGGTCACTTGAATGACTCAAGAATATCTATATGGGGAATTTCAGGAGTGAGTAACTCACTCTATCACAGAAGACTGACCCCATTTGCCTGCAGTTTGATGGGTCTTCAAGCCATAGAAATCCTAAGTGCCCTTGATCATCTTGATCGACACGTGTGCTGTCCACAGTGTCCACTGCTTTTCAAGAAAGCATTTCTTCCCACTGTCCTCGGTCCGGCACAGCTGTCCTCGGAGCCGATTCCGCCGCACCCAGGAGGATCCACCGCGCAGCGCAGGCACCGATAAGGCGCCGCACCGGACTCGTGTGAGTAGGTTCCGGCACTGCAGCGATAGGCTCCGGGTGCCGTCCAGCTAGGGAAGGTGGGTTACTGCATGCATCTGCAAGCTAGGGAAGGTGGTTCCCGCTTTTTCATGCTTTTCCTTCGACGATTTGTCAGGCCTCAATTGAAATTCTACATAATTCTGCTGTGTCATGAAGTTGATCGCCATTGACTCCTACTGATTGCCATAGCAGTGTGAAATGATCCATGTGCTGGAAACTAGGCTTCCGAGCTGCAAGAGGAGGGTAAAGACCTCTACTTCAATACGCCAGGCTCTTGGCTCCAAGACGTTATGTTATTACTGTATAAATTATCAAGATCCAAGGGCCCCAAAACAAGCATTGCCTACCTCGTTTGGGATGAAATCATTTCTTGTGTGCTTCACACCAAGCATTATCACGACTGCCACGGTTTATAGAAGGCATGGGAAGTTCAACAAAAACAAATTCATGCTCTACTTTGTGATCTCCCAAATCCCGCACCCCCCTCCTAGGGCCTAGACTTTCATGACACCCCTGCTTCTCTGCCACCAGTGACAATCAACCACACAAAAAAGGGGCATCATATGCCCGGGTATAGGCCAGAGTCCCAACATGTGCCACAGAAAACCCGGGTATTTCCCACCGACCTCGTGGACCGGTATCCGGTGTCCTCTCCGAGGTTGCTGCAGATGAAAGGCGAAGGCCTGTTGGGCCACCTCTTCGAGCCCGAGGCGCGGGGCACCGACCGGGCCATGATGGCTGTTCTTCGTCCCCCGCGATCCGGGCAGAAAACACCCCTAAGAAGGTGCGAGACGGTGCGAGACACGGTGCGACACAGCAGACATAGAGGTGAAGCAGTACGGGCACCAAACTCCGCCCGGATGGGTGATGCATCGAGGCTCCACCATTTGGGAACGCACACCGCTTGGGAACGCACCCTCACATGGAGTTCAGGATGCCTTGCTTCAATGGAAACGACATGAAAAGGGAAAAGACACCGTTTTTCAATGTCTTTTTGGAGGGGCATTTTTTCATTTTTTTTTTGGGGGGTTGATTTTTTTCCAGCAGATTTTGCCTTTGCTGCTTTTCTGCTTTTGCTTTTCTTTTTCTTGCATTGATTTTGCTTTTACTGATTTATTGCTTTTGTTGCTTTTCTTATTTGGCTGCTTTTGCTGCTTTTCATCTGCATTGCGTTTGCCTTTGCTGATTGTTTTGCTTTTCCTGCTTGTTTGCTTTGTTTTTGCTTTTGGTGTTTACCTTTGCTTTTCACCGGTCGTTTTTTGTTGCTTTGGTTGCTTTGCTGCTTTTCTGCTTTTGTTGCTTCCGTTGATTTTTGTTACTATTTGGTCTACTGTGCTGAATTTGTTGCTGTTCAGTCTGCATTACTGCACAGCTTGCACACACTAGTGTTTCATATATTCTTTAGCTGCGCAAACACATTAGACAGAGAAGCTTCAATACGCTTTGCGCATATGTATGTCATGGTTGTTTTGCGGTCTTTGTCTTTGTCTTTGTGGGAAAACATTGAAGTACAGCACTTCTTACATGTGGTGCTTACAAGACGCAACAAAGCCAAAATTTGGGGGAGAGCGAGGAGCCATTCCAAGGTAGTAGAAGACCGTTTGCTAGCCACCGGAGGTTAAAATTTAGAGCAGGCAGGGGTGATTTCAAGGTAGCGTTGTGAGCCACCTGAGGGTAAAATTTAGAGAAGGTAGGAGCCATTCAACAAAGCTGCCCATTTGTGAGCCACCTGATGGTGACATTTAGAGGAGGAAGGCGCCATTCCAACATAACAGACCTTTTGTGAGCCACCCGAGGGTAACATTTAGAGGAGGAAGGTGCCGTTCCAACATAGCAGACCTTTTGTAAGCCACCCGCGGGTAAAATTTAGAAGGGGAAGGTGTCATTCCAAGGTAGCAATATGCCTGTGTGCGCAAGTGAGTCGCAGCGTGGGCAATCGGCAGGGTTCATGCATGCGCTCGTGAGTCATAAAACTTTTGCGCACGCAAGTGATGTTTTGGACATGGCCTCTTCATCATCAAGTAGGTGCATGGGACATCGCTTGCGCAAGTGAGGTGAGTTTTGCGTTCGCAAGTGAGTTGCGAGCCAACCCCAACAAACACCACGAAAAAACATGACACAGCAGCCGCAGACAGAAGCATCCAAGCACACGCCCTTCTCCCAAACTCCCTCCAGCGCCACGAAAACCGCATTTTTTAAAGTTTAACCACGCCCAACTGCACCGGACACCATTGCAAAATCTGCATTATTGTTTTAAGTGAGCGCCCAAGGGCTTATGTTTGCACTCTTGGTTGCTTTCTGAAATGGCTGACCTCTTGGGCCTTTCTTGCGACTTTGTCTTGGGCTTTGAGAGTTCGTTGGGTTTTCGATGGCCATCAAGCAAGGCCCCTCACCGAAGTTTTTTTGCCCTGGCCAGTCGCAGGTGTTGCACTTCATGGCCCAAACTAGCCATGTCTTCCAGACGATCTTCAAAGCGTATGTGACGGGCTAAGTCCAACAAAGAGCACAGTTCTGTTTTTGTTTCTCCGAGCCCACGCCGTGCCGTGTGCGGTGATGTGCGGTGAGGCGCCGTGATGTGTTGTTGACCCCGCAACGGCCACTTTTTTGTGTAAAGACGTGAGCTCACGCTGAGCGAATCGATAGAATCGATCCATGCGGGTGGGGACGACGGGAGTCCGATGGCTGTCTGCCACGAGGCCGACATACCTTCGACGACTGGTGAAGGGTGGCCTCCTGAGATGGAAGGCATGGGTCGAAAGAAGGCCGGCAGAGTGTAAAAGGGATGGGGTTGATCTCCTTCTCCCAACAAAGGAGATACCGTAGTGACCTCCAAATAGAAACGTTCTCCAAGGCCTCTTCTCAAAAAGAAATCAATCCTTTTCTGTTTGTTTCGGGGACCTGTGCAAGACCAGATCGAGACTGACCAGGTTTTAATGAGACATTGACATTGATATTAACACCGAAGCTGCAGACACATACAACAATGGAGTTTTGGGTCCTATGGCAGCAAAGGTGAACCACATAGGACCCACACCATACACATACGATGCTTCAAGAGAAAGCGACTCCGATGAACACTTGCCGCGGTTTCCGGGGCTTTCTGTTGTTCACCTGCCGAGGCACATGTCGCTGGCTGCCTTGGTCCGCTTTGGGGCAGACTTTGGGCTTTTTCCACACAAGGCAGCCGCGGAAACACCCCTCTCGTGGGCAGACAGGATAGGGGGATCGGTCCAGCAAGCGCTACATTGGTTGTACGTTTGGTGTTGCAGAACTCGGAGAAGTCTATAGTCTATAGTGATCCGGTTGGGCGTTGGCATTTTCCTAGCTTGAGGCCGCCGGTAGGCACTTGAGGACACCCTGCACCCAGTGAAATCGTAGAAATTGTTCGAGTGGAAGGATCTCCCACTGAAGTTGCACAACTGCTCACAATCTTTTTCCAGGTGCACGAAAAAGGGTGAAGCGTGATGAAGCTCACTCCATTTTCCATCTTCCGCCACACCCACCAGGTCGATTTCCAGACGGTGCAGTGGCTCTACAACACCGAGTGCCGGACGGTGCGCGCTTCACCGAGACCCTGGGAGGTCCTGGCCGAACGGTGGGCCGGAGGCCCTTAAGCAAAAGGCTTGAAGCTCCCAGAAGGGGCCCAGCCCATCCCGGACCATCCCAGACCTGGTGTGGAGGTGTTGTTTACCATGAAGGCTTTTAGGACGGAAACCACACATGCTGCATGTGGTCACTCTAGCATGTGGGACATGCTGGGACCGATCTTGTGCGATGTCGATGCCCCTTCGTCTTGTCACGAAAAGGGTCTTGGTCTTCTCCAGGCCAGGTCGCACGTCGCTCGCCGAGCGCGGATCGCCGTGGGCCACGACTGAAAACAACCAACTTACCAGTACTATGGAGCTGGTGTTCACAGCGAAGCATCCAAGATCCAGTTTTTGGTTCGATTACATAAAGTTGTGTCCCGAAACTTTCAGAAAATCGGGAGGTGAGGGTTTTCGTAACCGTAACCAGCGGCTTGCTGGTTTTGGTATCGGCTGTCTGAGTTCCTCCTGCCCATCCAGACACATGTCATGTGGCCTCTCCAAAAGTGAGCCTGCACAAAAGTGTTTGGTATTGACCCAGATGAAAATCCTGAACCCCAGGAAGAATGCCCAATGCATCCCAAACACGGGTTGGTGAGTGTCACATGCCGTAGGTTCCACCGTTGTTGATCGACGTCCCTCCCTCACCCAGGATTTCGGCAGCGACGCGCGCAGGCCAACCCCAGTGTAGACCAGATGGACAGTAGCAGGGGATCCCCAGCGTGCCCGAAGGCCCTTGAAGCTGAAAGGAAACGGAGCATGACTTCTGGACTTGGCCTTGCGCACTTAGCCTTGTGCACAAAGACCTGAACAACCAATCCACAGATGGACAGCTCAGTTTGTCTTTCAACTCGAGTGGGATCATGTGGGATCCCGGTTGACAGCTCCTGCATGTCCCGTCTCTCCCATAGCAACTTGCTGTTGTGCGAATCAATGCTCTGGATTCTCATAGATTCTCTAGATGAAACATTATATATTGTATAAACCTCCTCAACTTTGAACAGTCCTCACTTTCGTGTTAGCCTCTTCTCCAAAAGTTCAAGGGCCCCGCCCCTTCCCAAAGAGCCGTCTTTTGGAAAAGGGCATCTCAAGAAATCTCTTCCCAAAGGACCACAAACCACTTGCTGGAACCCCCAAAACCACATATATACCACCTTTGGTCCTTTGGTCCTATGTGTCCGAGTTCCTCCCGTTTCGCTCTGAGGAGCGGGCAGCGCCGGGACGTCTCCGCCGCGCCGCAAGGGCAGGTGCCGGATCAGCGCACCTCGCGGTGGAAATGGATTTTTCCGCTCCCGGTGAGGATGAAGCGGCTTTCTAGCTTGGGAGGCAGAAATCTATTTCTTGGGTTGAAAGAACATGTTAAAACCCTTCTGTAGAGGATTTTGGAGGGTGCTCATCTGAATGGACAGGATGGTTACTAGGCCTTTGGGGTGGTGCCAGGGAAGAAAATGAATTCTTGAGCGGCTTTTTGTTTTGACCGGATGGACGCAAGGGTGTGTCTTTCTGCTTTTGTGCCAGGAAGGCCATCATCAAGGAGGAAGATGGCTTCTTGTACCAAACGAAATGGTTGAAGCCACACCTCGCCTGGATGAGCAAGGCGTGGTGGTGCTCAACATTTCGGCTCTGCCAGGGGGGGTGCCCATGGCCATCATGGATGTATATTGTTTCTACTAGATTCTTGTTACTACTAGTAAGGCACTTGTTACTAGAAGCGATGCACTTGTTCCTAGTATATTGTTTCTACTATCAAACATTGTTCCTAGTAGTAAGGCCCTTGCTCCTAGTAGCGATGCCCTTTGCTACTAGTAGCGTCCTTGCTCCTATCTGTTGGGAACCTCTTTAGACTCTAAGATGCCCTGAGCATTTCTCACAATGGCGTTCAGGAACCCTCGCGGATGACGGAGGTGGAGATGAGATCCGTCTTCATCTTGACCGCTCGGCCGCCCAGGGAATGTTTAATACACCGTGTGCCCACGCATGTGCGAAGCCTGGGGGTGTTAGTGAGCCGCCGCCGCCGCCGCCGTCGTCGTCGTCGTGGTCGTCGTGGTGGTGGTGGTGGTGGTTCAGTGACATCGTTACACTCAGGCGATAGATGATTGGCTAGAAAGCCACAACCTCAAGGTCAGGAGCTCAGGTACCAGCAGCGACTGAAGCTAAGCTCACATGTGGTGGACAGAAGCTGAAACCTTGAACTTTCATCACAGCACTTTTTGGAATTGTGCAAATGCCTTTTGTAATTGTGCAAATGCCTTCTCCTTCTCTACTGTGACAGCACATCGCTTTTGGCATGTGTCCTAAGCTGAAACCTCGCTTTCATGATCAGGCAATGTCTGTTTGCATGTGAAACCTTGGAATCGTATTTTCTTGGGCAACTATATAATGCTTATAGTCATCCGATGGGTGTTTGTCATGTTGAAGTCGCTTGCAATGGAGATCGTTGGAGCTTAGTTGAGTCTGACTGGAAGAAGATTCATTGCACAAAGAAACGGATTCTTCGTGGGATTCAGTGATTTGCCGTGCCATTATCGGGCACCTCACAGGTGCCCACGACGGACGTGGTTGGACTCCTCCCCCCAAGAACACTCAGCACCATCGCAAACCACCAAGCTGCTTCGAGTGGTGCTACCTATATAAGACTCAAACGACATTTTGTGGCCAGAACCCTCCGAAGCCCCTTACATGATTGGACAGCATGCAAAACCTTCCAAGTGGATTGACATCCTTCGAAGTTTGCTACTACCCCCTACTGAAAGAACACCGAGACCACTGATCACTGACGGGTCCATCGGTCCTTCGCCCGATGCGGGGACGGAAGCACTGCCCCCCCGCCGTCCGACCCAGGTCTCAGAGATCTTTGCCAACACCCACGCGACGAGCGGCACCTTCAACGCACAGGAGCCGCAGGGGTTAGTGTCATCCGGGTGGTCCCAATGGGGTCGCTCGCGAAGCAGTGAGGTGAGATGGATGGATGGATGGAGAGGTCATCCAGTCAAAAAGGATTGACCAAAGAATCCAAAAGATCACGCAAGTGTGGTTTCCGTGGGTTTTGATTGTCTTCGATCAGTTTTTGAGCCATAGGCTCTTTGACTTTTACCACGGCGTCTTTTTCTGTGGGTTGTGGGTGGTGCCGTAAAAGCAGTTTCACGGGAAGACATGACCTCATGGCCTCGGAACCAATGAGAGTCATCGTAGATTTTAGTAGCTTCCTGTATCCGCATGGTGCCAATGAGAGTCACCCTGTTTTGATGTAACCATGAGGGTCAGACAGACGCATCGTCTGAGAAGGAAAACCATCACGGTGACAATGAGCTAAGTATCAGCCTTGTCATATGAAATTTGGGTGCAAGTTACCTGAGAAACGAAAGGTTGTGTAAGGGAGTTTGTTGAACAAGCTGTGCCTTGCAGGGTCTTGTTTCCGCTTTCATCAGAGGAAAACAAAGTCGCGGAAACATCTCCTTGTTGCCATGTGTGTAGGGCCTTCTTGGACCCTACTTCCTACGCAAGCTCAGACAGTTGGTTTAAACATTGCATATTTTGCGGAGCTCATCTGGGGAAGGCTCCAGTCGGACCCAACCCATGAGGGCCCAGAGGTAATCCTTTTTCTTTCGATGCACCTCCCTGTAAAGAGGGAACACATGTCCAAAGCTCCCGGGAGCCTACAGGATCTGCAGTTGGTGGTAAACTTCATGGATTTCGAGGACGAACTTGGGATGATGTGACTGAGGTCTTTTGCCAGAATCCCCTTTTACGTACTCAGATGAGCGCAAACGCTTCCCTTTGGAACATAAATGTCAATGTAGAAGATGCTCTTCCAGCAGAGTAGTTTCTTCCTATAGCATCCCAAAGCCAAATTCAGGCACCCAGTCTGCAATCTGTAGCAGCTTCTTCAGTTTGTCGCTCGAAGGCGATTCAAAACACTTCCCGGGCTGTCGACGGACATGACGTGAGACATGACGTGACCGTGAAGAAGGATGTGCGTGTGTGCTCCATCATCCCCTGACCCTTGGCCGTGCAGGATCCTCCAACGGCTGAGGAAATCCAAGCATTAGCAGGCCGACGACCTCCACGATCCTCCGACCGTGCCGCGCCACGCGGCAAACCGGCGACGGTGTCGACCGCCACGCGGGCTCCCCGCGGAGCCACCGTCTGGGTCGCCGGCGAGGCGCGACGCCCGACCCGCCGCCAGGCCTGCTGATCGTGCGGCAGCCCCTCACGGAGCCTTGGCTGGATCAGAGCCGATGGGGTCGGGAAGATGTGAGTGTTGAGCGGCCACCCAGATGAGCATGTGGGAAGCGAAAAATCCGTGAAACAGGGCAGTGAGCTGGCACCTGAGCTTCGATAATGGATGGCTCATGCCCTCATGATTGTACTCATTTATATAGGTTAGTTGGACCCATCCCGATGTGAAGACGAAGAGCAAACTGCACGCATTCCGAGCCCATCCTGGAAAAATATGACGGAAAAGGTTCTCCACATTCATCCACGTACCATCCGCATCCCATCCTGCGCCCATGCTAAGGCCATTGACTTTCCCACTCTGGAGATGGCTCGTGTCGCCGCACGGCTCACGAAAGAGAGTCGCAGCAGGCGTGGACCGCCACGCCTCTCTTCGGCCTCGTCGGGGTTGAGCTCGGACGCTGTGCAGGGCGAGGAACTGTTTCCTGAAGGATTTGGCCAAGATGAGCAAGGTCGAGTCGAGCGTCGCACTGGCACGGTTGTTCGGGCGCAGGATGATCTCCTCCTTCGAAGTAGTTCTTGTTGAGATGCAGGTTCTGTGTTCTTTTTTGATGCTCACCAGCATGTCTGGGTTGGTTTTGGCCCACCGTAACCGTGCCAAACGCTGTCCTACACAAAGAACGTACCTGCCACTTCTCCGGCCGACGTACCGGTCATCCGCGTCGATGTCGATGTCTGCCAGGCGCATCTCTTCTTTACGGAGCTGACCGCCAACCTCGAGCTGCCTGGCCTGGAAAGAGAGTGGGCGAGGTCCCGCGCTGGCCACTCCATGGCCTCCTGGCCTTCCTGGGCGCGCCTGATGGCCACATGAACCACTTTTGAAAAACCATCTGGATAGGGCTGGCATGGTCCCAAAGGTGTTCTTTTGTTTGGCTTCTCTTTCGGTTTTCGGTTGGATGCAGGACCAGGAACATCGCCGGTCCGACCCGGTCCGACCTGACTGTTGGGTCGAACCCCGTGGCCCGTGAAACGGCCATGTTGGTCCGGACGTGCTCAGGTTTCGGGGCTTGGCTCCGGAGTCCTTCTACAGGCGAGCCCGTCCCATGCAGCTGTCTTGAGACAAAGACACCACCCGGTTTTTTCGGAGGGACCGAAATCTTTTGAGGATGGCAAGTATACTAACCTTGCCTGAACCCATCTTTGTGTGTGTGAGAACCACACCCCCAGTGGCTTAAGTAATCTTTGGATGGTGGTCCACTTTGTATCACTTTGTTAATCCTTGATTGCGTCTGGCAGCGCTACAGCAAAAACTGACTTCCAAGAAATAGCAGCATTGTATTATATATTATATTTGTAATATATATATATTTGGCATTACTTTTCATATACAATAATAATGCCTCGATCAAAGGACCTCTGAGACCGTGACGAGTGGCCAGGATGCTGGATGTGGACCATTCAGGCAGGGTGCCGTCAACCGGGTGCGTTGGAACCCGGTGCAGCTTTTTGCGCGTTCAGACCCGTCCAGACGGGTTCAGACCCGTCCAGTCGGTGTGTAAACACACCGGTCCTGGTCCAAATACATGACTGTGGGTATGATACATTACCAAACACCCCTACTGGCAGGATCTGTTGATGAGCCCTAGTAGAGTTCCATGTCACTCATGATGGGATAGACTTCTTTTGCACTATTTTCCGTCATTTTCCCCACAGCCAGGTCCATTCGTTTGAGGAGCTTGTTTGGAGCGCTCGCCTGCAACCGCACCTCCGACTGAGGTCAAGTGCCAGTGAAAGTCATTGTGCGGCAGGCAGGTGTTGTGAACGTCATTGTCGCAAAGAGCCGAAGCACATTGATGTGGTTTTCAATCGGAATCTGATGGAATCAGATTGTTTCAGAGTTTCCAGACATGTCCCTTTTGATCATCCCAGACATGGAGCTTTTACATGCTCTTACCGCCAAAAGCTCTTTGAGAGGGCCCTCGAGAGGGCCGTGCCCTGATGTGAAGCCCCCCTCTCCGGTGCGAGGCGCGATCTCTTGAGAAGATGGAGCCTGGAGTTTGGTCGACCTGGCGTCTTTGAGTTTGTTGTACCTGCAGCATGGAAAGCAACTGAAGTCCGCTTCTGCCACGACGGGCGGACTATGGCGGACCTGGGTGAGCAGAGCTCGGACCTTTTTCCCAGATAGCGAAGTTATGGGGTTCTTACTTCAAATAACAATGAGTTGCCCGCGCGTGCTTTCGAGACAGGTTGCTGGTGCTGGGCGCCGGTGCTGGTGCTGGAGCTTTGCTGGTGCTGGTGCTGGTGGTGCTGGTGCTGCATGTGAGCTGGCTGTGCACGTGGCTGGTGCTGGCGGTGGTGCTGGGTGCCGGGTGCCGGCGCTGGTGCTGGTGCTGTGAGCTGGCTGTGCACGTGGTGGAGACAGGTGCTGGTGCTGGTGCCGGGTGTCGGTGCTGGTGCTGGGTGCCGGGTGCCGGTGCTGGTGCTGTTATAGGTGGCTGTGCGCGTGGTGGAGACAGGTTTCTGGTGCCGGGTGCTGGTGCTGGTGCTGGGTGCCGGGTGCCGGTGCTGGTGTGAGCTGGCTGTGCAGACGTGCTGGTGCCGGGTGCCGGTGCTGGTGCTGGGTGCCGGTGCTGGTGCTGTGAGCTGGCTGTGCACGTGGTGGAGACAGGGTGCCGGTGCTGGTGCTGTGAGCTGGCTGTGCACGTGGTGGAGACATGGTGCCGGTGTGTGCGCATGGTGGAGACAGGGCGCCGGTGCCAGGTGCTGGTGCGGGCTGTGGTGCTGGTGCTGGGTGCTGAGATGCACGTCGCAACGTCAGGCTCTCAACCGACCATTGCGTCAGCATGTTTCAGCATGCTACACACACAATAGTTGTGCTGGATACTGCTTGGCCTTGCGCGAGTGAAGCCTACGGGCTTTGCCGTTTGGCGCATACTTTTGTGCGCATAAACTTATACGCGCAAGATGAACGCTTACGGGCTGTGCTGTTTGCGCTGCGCATAAACTTATACGCGCAAGATCATACGTTGTTATTCCCCAAATAGGGATAGCTATGGGATTCTTACTGCAAATAAGAATGAGCTGGCTGCGCGTGCTTTCGAAAGAGAGTCGGTGCTGGTGCTGGTGTTGTGGTCCTGGGTGTTGGTGCTGTGAGCTGGCTGAGCCCGTCTTAACGCGTTTAAGACGGGCGGCGGCGCTGGTCGGGCGCTGGTGCCGCTGCCGGTGTTGTCAGCTGGCAGAGCGCACCGGCGCTGGTCTCAGCTGGTTGTGCGCGCTGTGGAGGTGCCGTATGCTGGCTGTGCAGGCTGCGTACATTCTTGTTCCAGCCAGTCGCATGTCAACAGGTCGTGGGATTCTGCCTAGCTATCTGGGTCTGTGCTGGTGTAATTTGGGGTCATGACGAGGTCATCCCTCTTCCGGTCCAGGCGACTGCTTAAAGGTCGGGGCATTGCTATTTGAGGTGTTTTTGGTGCTTTGCTCTCGACCAGAGCTGGTCAACTTGCTTCGAAATCTGCAGTTTCTTCTTCTTTCCTTTTCTTCCCCAAACAGTTTACTGTTGGGCTGTTGGGGTTCTATCTTAGGAAAAGACTGGCCACACTCACTGGCCGCGCCCCTGAACGCTGTGGCTGGGCTCTGTGTCCAGCCCTTGTCCTCCTTTTGTCCTCTTCTTGTCCTTGTCTTGGCCGCGCTGTGGCTGGGCTCTGTGGCCCGGCTCTGTGTCCGGGTCTTGTCCTCCTCTTTTCCTTGTCTTGGCCGCGCCCCTGAACTCTGTGGCTGGTAAATGTGGCCCGGCTTATTGGAGAGGAGTGTGGCCGAACAAATGGCGATGTCAATGCCGACGAAAGTTCATTGATGAAGCAGCTTGCTCTTGTGGGTGAAGGTAGGGCGTGCCAAGAAAGCGTTTTTTGATTAATATTGGTCTAAGCGAATCGTTTTGAAGCTGTTTGGGGTCTATGCTGATATATTTTTTTAATCCAGCGGGGCAAGACGCCGCGATTGTTGATCATGTCGGCTTCGCCAGGACGGCTGCGATGACCGTTGAAAACCCTTTTGCTTTCATTGGCAAGACGGTTGAGGATGATATCTCGAGAGAGGCCGGGATCACGATGGTCCCACGGGTCATTGGCCTTTGGACCCGCGGATCTTGCAACGTAATTAGTATGCCAGAAAGCAGGACAGAAGGAGGTTTCAAAACGGAGATCCGAGCCCTAGCAATGCTAACGCCTTTCCCAAGCCTGGAAAGGATTCATGGGTCTCCCCCCCGGGGTCTGTGGATGGGGTCTGTTTGCGCATGAGGAGTTCATTGATCTCTTTGAGGAGATCAAAGAGGCACGCAGGTCTGGGACCCCAGACTCCACGCCTTTTCAACCTGAAGGACGTCGATAAGCGTAAGTGCTGGGCCTGTCGTGAAAGATTGAACAGATCTGAAAGAGGTCTGAAGATGAAGAGACTCTGACTTGGTTCACTCCATGAATGTTCATCCAATATGTTCCTGGCATGTGTTTGAGTGTTTGCTTTTGCTCAACTTGAGAAAAGATGGCGTGCAAAGGACGACTCTGTAGGTACGCCTCACACGAATCTGACATGGGCTCGATCTTGCTCGATCTTCACATTTGGAGACTGAGGTTGAGGGAAGCAAGCTTCGAGCAAAAGCATCCTCTTTTCATCTCCTCTGGTACTGCACTCTCCTGAGCCGGGAGATATCTCTGACCAGCATTTGAGATGACCCTTTGGAAATCTTCCGAAGGCAACACATTTTTTGAAAGGGGCACCGGGCACCAGGGTCGAAAATTCAAGGACCCTCGCATGTGGTATATTTCCTGAGAAAACCATTTCAATTCCAAGACATTCTTCTTCTTTGGTCTGTTCACTTCAGAATGCGCGCTCGCAGATGTTGCCCGTGCCTGGAAATCCAGAGACAGAGTGATTACAGTGAAGAGGGTGGCTGGGACCTGACTCTTCACCTAGACTCTGTAGACTCGGCGAGAACTCTCGAAAAAATCCGACAACCGACGTCGGCCGAGGTGCAACCTCCCAATTCCAAGGACTCTCCCTTCGCCGCGGAAGGGTTTGCCGCTTCGCTGCCTGGAACGGAGGGTGTTGCCACGAAGACCGGGATGGCGGCAAACGGGTGGATCGCGGGACTGACCGGTGCGAGGGAAAGGCATGGGAGGACTGGCTAGAGCGGCTAGGTGATACCTCGTGCCGGGAATCTCAACAATATGGTTGCTGAATGTGTACATCTTCTGGCCATCTTCACCACTCCCATCCTTTTTGGAGATGTTCGGCCTGTGAGGCGTTGACCCAGGAGGATGGTACCGGGCCCCAAAACCGCTTTCTGGCGAGCCACTCACCTGGTTCTTCCAAGGTGAAGGTGATCATGAAGATGGGCCTCTTCTACCTGTCGCACTATGGCACTGAAGCTCAGGCGCCAGTCCGATCAGCAACACCTTCCGAAAAGGCGACACCAGCACCTAATTCTTCCCGTTTGGAGCTGCCAAATGCCGGCGACCCCAGCCGACCGAAGGGGTCGACCGTGGGAGCGACCAGGAAGCTTGACGAGACGGTCAAGCAGCAAGCATCCAACGAGACTGGGACACGAAAAAAATGCACCACACCGAACGAACACATGGCCTTCTCTTTGTTGGTGAAGGATGGTGAAGGAATCTTCGAAACCCTCATGGTACTATGGTATCCAGCGGCTGTGCTTGTTCCGGAGAGTGTTCAATGCTGTCCAATGGCCCATTCCGTTTTTTGTTGTCATTTTTGCAAAGATCGGCATGACAGAGTTGTTTTTAACACTGCACTCCAGGCACAGCTGTCCTCCCACCACAAGCTCTTGTGGCTTTTCCTGTACATGCACTGGTATTTCGATGGTTGGGAGCCCGTGGAAACTGGCCATGTATCATTGGGCCGCGGCCAAAAGTGCGGTGGACACAACCGGACTTTATGACCCAACTGAAGATTATATATTACTTATTTTAATACATTATTATGAGACTATTATATATACTGTATATATATACAGATACATAATATTCATTATTATACACGATACACGACATATGATTGGATATCCATTTCCAATGATGGTGACCGCAGGTCAACCACCAAATCACTCACGCAACAGACAGCACCAAGGCTCACGCCAGAGGGCTGAAGAGCTTTTGCGCCAGAGGGGGGCCTCAGCCAATCAGGGATACGAAGTGCTGGGGGGAAGGTGTGGCACATCTCCATGACAGGGCACAATGTCTGAATTTCTGAGATCTTCCAGGGAAGATCCTTGTGACTGGAGCCGCATGACAGTTGTTGTGACTGGAAGTGGTTCAATGTCTGTCCTGCCACCGTTTTCGCCACGGTTCTTTCGAGCTCCTGCAACCGATCAGCGAAGCACCGACCGACCGATCGACACGTTTGGGACGCAGAAGGGTGGTCTCTCATCCACAGATCCTGAAGGGGCCCACAACAGATTCACTAGGCCTAGGCAGTGGCTTTCATATGTTTTCATTGATTTCGGGTCGAACCTTGCAGTTTCCGGGTCGAACCTTGCAGTTTCCGGGTCGAACCTTGCAGTTGGGGGAAGAAGATGACCTCAGAATGGGACTGCATCCCCAGACCCGGGACTGCGACTCATCGCTGTGCAACGTCGAGTCGACTCGACCGGTCCGCCTTTCACCGGCCGCGGCCGCAACGGATCGCTCGAGGTCTGGCTTTGAGAGGCGGGGAAGCACAGGAACTGGGGCGACACAGGTTGGCAGGAGAAGGTGGAACCTGAGAGAAGGTGAGGCTTTTCAGGTGAGGTACTCACCCCATTCTGGAATATGATGGAAGGTGACTGAGGTAGCTGAGCCCTGAAGTCACTTGCTAGTTTTCCTACCGGAAGATGCTGGAAGATACTGGAAGTATTTTGAGGGTCTACTGGCATGGAAATCCGTCGTGATCCATCATGATCCATATTTGGATGCTCCTTTTTGACTCTTTGTTGTCCACTGCACCAGTCATCTCCGATTCAAAAGCAGCATCGTCGTCCGTGAAAACGATTGCATGGTCCAAGACCAAGACTCGCATCACTTAAATAGATCACACATGATCGCATCACTAAGTATCACTTCACCTGAGTCAAAAGGCTTAAAATCATCTTAACTACTCTTAAACTAGGTGCTTAACAAAAGGGAGGAGACCTTTCGTCACGGTACTCACCCACCGGTCGTGAGGGGGCGCTTACGGCTCGGCACCACCACCTTCGCCGGTCCCGAGGCGTTCGAAGAGCTCGAGGCCCTCGAGCCGCGACTCGCGGCCGCCCTCGCGGCCGAGCAGCCGGGGTCGGGGGGGCCTGGAAGGTCTTGATTGTAGAGTTAGCATCCTTGTTCGATGCCAGGAGCCCCTAGTAGCTCCATAAGACTCTTGATTAAGAACAGGCCTCCATATGAAAAGCTTTTTCAATGTGAGGGAGGTGATCCATCCAGAGATGTTTTTTTTGATGTGAACATCTATTACACTCTGGGACTCTTCAGTTTGTACACCCAATCAAGACCTCAAGTATCCTTCAAATACACCTCAATGGTGTTTGCAGGTTTGTCGTCCTGATCCTGGCTGCCTCCACTGTAAGGTGATGCGGCTGGACGGCGCTATCCGAAGCATTTGCCGCTGGGCTTGGCACGATTTTCATCTATTTTCGATATATTCCAGATCAGTTGGTCAGTTGGTTCAGTCGCAGTCCTAGCACGAATCAACCTATTACCTATTCATCGTGGAGTTCGTGCTTGGCCTCTCCGGCTGGACGTGTCAGGCGTCACCGCGCAGGCGTCACCTGTCCCTGTCCGGTGTGGCTGTGCCGTTCCTTCGATTCGGCCCAGGCCAGCGATGCGGCGGCTACTGGCCAGACATCCCACCCTCTTCATGGGTGTGGGAGAGGCCTAAAACGGTGGACGGTGGTTGGGTGCTTTCTGCGGTTTGGATGCGTGGTTTTTTGGGGGTGGACGGTGGTTGGGTGTTGGATTTTTGCTGTGTTATCGAAGTACAAGCCACTGTCTTGGGATGTGCGTTTGCACTCCGTCACGAGTTTTGGGAGGGGAGGAGCAAGAACTGCTACCATCTGGAATCTGGAGCAAGAACAGCATGGTTTTCGATCTTTAGGGTCAATTAGCAGGGCTCTTTACGCCGTCCTCGTTGCTCCGTCCTCTCTTTCATCGTTTCTGGCGCGAACGATCGGCAGGTGGCCTTGCCAGAGTGGGCGACCCCGAACCGCACGGCCCGGGCACGGGGAGCGGACTGGGATGGAGGTCGGATGGAGCCGTTGGAGGTGGACACAGGTCGGTGGAGTTCCATCCGTTTGCTTTTTCGAACACCTCGGCTTGCCCGTAGAGCGAAGTCTGACTAAGTCTGACTATACCACTCTTTTTTAATCCAACAAACCAGGGCCTGGACCTGTGCATGACGCTGCATGGCAGACTCTGACAGCAAGTTTGGAGAGATAGGCGGACGTGGTGGTTCAAGCGGCGTTTCGTGGAGCACTCAGATCCGCGAAGTGCTCTGTAAGATTATCTCAGAATACCTGGCGATTGGAGGGCACTACGAACATATGGCTATATTATAAAACTATAATGGCATAGTATATATTATAAAACTATAATAGCATAGTACATATATGTAGTCACTATATTGTGTACAATACACACAATCACATGGCACAAGGGACTTTGGGCAAGTGGAAGCATCCTTTCTATTTATAAGGGTCACAAGTGCAATGGCAATTGGAGGAGACACACAGACAGGGGAAACAGAAGCAATCATCAATCATAGTTTGTGTTTCTGGACAGCAAACGGCAGAGTCGCTCAAAGCGCCTGAAACGAGGCACACTACGAATACAGGAAAGCTCCGATCTTAGTGTTTGCCCATTGCAGACAACGGGCGTGGGCAGTGCTCGAAGTTAGGGGTCAAGCAGCTTGCCATAGAGTTTGGTGGTCAGCCTGATTAGGCCTGGCTAGGCCTGGTTTTCAATGGCCGACCTTTTGAGTGGACGCCAGACCAGGGTATCATACCGTCACTTTGAAGAATCAGGCTCTTTGCGTCAACTTCACTTACAATTTTAACAGCCTCATGGGGGTTCAGTTTTACTACAACTTTTTGTAGATGGTTCCTATTCAGCCCCACATCCCGCTCAACAAGCACATATTTCGTCATACAGACACCCACCCACCTACCCACCTGCTCACCAAACAACTAAAAAAAGCGGTAGAGAGCACTTCCTAGAGTGTCGGCCTCGGAACATCATCCCGCCGTTGCGCCGACACACACACACACACCCTCCATCGCCGAGGCGCTGCGGAAGGAGAAGATAGCTGGAAGGTGGAAGGTGAGCATCCACAGACAGATCCTGTGGAGTTTTGGTTTGGCCACCCCTCATAAATGTAAAATCTTGATTGATCACCCCCCGCATATGAAGAGGAGATTCGACACTTTTTTGCGGGGTTGGCAAGTGGCTTTGGCTGGAGAATCTCCCTATTGACAATATTGACTATTTCGATACACATATAACTTGGGTTTGTCATGGTTTGTCCTATTTCCTGTAACAGTCAGTAAACAGTACACTATTTTTGAACAAGGCCTTGATTAACTGTCATCATCCACTGTTACAGGTAATAGGATTGATAGACCCCAACACATAACCATATTACACGTAACTCATCAGCACTTGGGATTTGCCGGGTTCAGAGACACGAAGTCTTGGACGGGACTCATGTGGCGGCCTTGGGGGGTGTTTGTGCAGTGAAATGATCCCCCAGATGGCCAATCCTTTTTGGGACATGGAGCCGCAACACTCATGATCATCCCCTCAAAGAAAGTCGCCCCCCAATGCTGCTCCATGCCCTTGCGCGGGATCCACCCCACCATCTGCATCCATCTGCTGCCCGGACGAAGGCCTCGAGGACGACGACGATGCGCTAGGCGACGAACGACGCGGGTCGGCCGTGACCGGACGAGAGGGTGTGGAGCAGCGTGCACCGGTTTTCGCCGGTGTTTGGTGTTTGATACTCGAAGGGAGTGGACTGGTCAGCTTGGGGTGGTCAGCTTGGGTCAACAAGCCGATCTGTGTTTCCCATGTTTCCCTTGTTGGTCGTGATCTTCTTTCTTTAGACCGTGGCTTATTTTTCCATGCTTCTACATTCCCAAAAGGTCAAAATGGTGAATTGTGAAGCTCGTGACCTACAATTTATGCCCATGAAAAGGGTGCCTGGGTGCCTTGCTTCCAGCCACACGGGTCGGTTCCATTTGGACGCCGACGTGCAGGGGCCATCGAGGAGGATCCGTGCTCATCTCTGCGAGGTGGATCGAGCGATCTGGGAGATCTTTTTGGCAGGAGTCGCGCAGGAAGTGATATAGTTTTTATATGTCTTTATACATTTATACTTTTGGTTGGGGGGTTTAGAAGAATCGGTGAGAGTAGACTGGAAGTCAGAAAAAGGTGAGGAACTCAAACTCAAAGGGATCAGCGTGCACGAATATATCATATCGTTATATATATATACATATCCTTCTTTCAGGTGTGGTTTGGAGGGGACTGTGCCTGTGTCGTGTCGCAGAGCAAACCTGCACCCAGAATGGTGAGGCGAAGATCCGGGTAGGACCCGGGTTGTGTCCAAAAAAGGGGTTGGTCGAGCCTCGAACATGAGGAACATTAACAAATTGTAAATAGATATATTTATGAATTGCCTGGGTCTTAGCCACTTCCCTTTGTCCCGTGACAGAAACCACGACCAGGTGCCATTTCGCTGGAGCAGACCCTCCTGGGCACCGCCTGCCATGGGCACCAACTCGCCGCCCGGCGTGCAGAACCAAACTGCGGCCAACCCACCCGAGTCCACGGAGCCGGTGGGGCACCACCGCTCTGCCGTCGGGGCGTTGGCATTTTTCGGGGACCCGCTCCCATGTCCACCCGCCCTTTTCGGCTTAAGGCGAGCAACACCTGGGGTGAAGATGGGTGAAGTGAACATCCGAACAGTCACGACGTCGGGGCATTTCAGTTTTTCTTGATCCCAGAGGAACAGCTTCTCTGATTTTTTCCCGACGTCATGTGCTAGGTTTTGCATATGCTGGCACAGCAACAAGAAGGGCACCAGGGTGTGGCAGGTTTTTCTCGGTGTTTTCCTCGCTGAATCCGATCCACGGAGGTCCATCCGTTCTCGGTGCGAACCCAACGATTTCGGTTCCACCAAAGGCCGAAGCTTCGAGCGACCTCTCGGAGTGAAGCGCTGTACGGGACTTCAATGTTATGAAATGGTTAATGCAGAGTCCCCAGATTTTTCCTTGAAAACACGAAGTGTTTCTTGTTCAGCAGTCCAAAGCTGACATTCCCGATGAAAATTATAGAACATGCTGCTTCCTCTGATCATTTGGTGCTTTTGTGATTCTGACGTGGGACTGCCAAAAAACAGTTCTTTCGAGTGCCCAAGGCACACGCATGAATTTCTCTAGCTTCTAAGAAGCTGTGGAAAAATCGCTCACACTTCCATGGGTGCACATCAACTTTGGTAACAAATGAAGCAGATGTTTGGACCAGAAACTGGTGCACTGGAACTCTCCAATCTGCAGGTCCTGGAAAGCTCTAGGTTTGACGCACGTGCTAGGAATTTTGAACGGTTGCAAGACCGAAAGCCAGCGCTTTTACACTGGGCTGGTTTGGAGCGAGCGGACGTTGATGCAGTTGCAGAAAGAACCGCGTCACCGCCTGTTGCTGGTTAGCTTGACAGCTGCCCATTTCAGACTTGATGCGATTGGCTAGAATTGACACAGCAAAACCTGAACAAGTTGGGCTTTTGGATCCGCAGCTTTGACAGTCAGTTCGCTAAAGGGGAGAACCGATCCTCTTCCTGGCACAGCGGCCGGCAGGAAGCTCATGGGTCCGAACGTTCTTTTTGCCGACCCACGGCTCGTGGGCGTTCATCGACTCAGGTCCATTGGCGGGCGGCCGTTGCGAAGCATGGAGGACGGCTCCGTCATTCCATTTCTTGGTTGGCTTTGGTTGAAAGACACGGAGGCAGTTTTCCTTCTGCCCCTCAGAACATGGCAGATCCATATCTGACACAGGGAGATCAGACTGAGTGAAGGCTCCGACGTTGACATGAAAAGCATTGAAACACACACTGAACAACAATGGCTCCAAACATGGGGTACGCATGCTCTTGCAACTGCGGCAGGATTTGGTCAAACAACAAAGAGACAATACGTCCACTCCCAACTTCGCCCAACACATTCGCAAGCAGCTATCCAGGTCGAGTTGCAATTAACGACGAGTCCCGGACAAATGGGTCCGAATCGCGATGAGCTTGCTTCTTTGGGAGGAGGCGGCCGAGCCAGCTGGAATTGCGCAACTCCTACAGGCGATGGCGACGGAGGGGTCGGCCAATCTCACAACAACTCGGGATTGGCTCCGTAGCCCAACCATAAGAGGAATGGCCTCAGAGAGGAAACCCCATACGCAAGTCGCTATGAAACTCAAAGATGTTATGGCCGAATGGCCGATTGGGTCAAAAAGCGAGCCAGAACATGCACTCATTGCTTGATAAGTTTGCGCCAGTTCTTTGCACAAACCTTAACACAAACCCCTTCAGTACGGTTTCAATACAAAGTTGGCTAAGCTGCTCTGAAGCCGCCAATTTCAGTCCAGAACCTCCCATTTGGCTTTTCACCGGGAGCTCGACACCGGGGTTACCGAGGCGCAGCGGGTCTTGCAGCGATACCTCGACAAGACGGTGGTCTGGGCGGGAGCCTCAGAGCCAAGCTCCGGCCCGGTGTGATGTGATGAAAGCAGAGGGCCACGGAGCCATGATTTAAAGGTGGGAAGAAAAGTCCTTGAAGTGCCAAGGGCAGATTGCCCTCTCCAATGTCCCATGTTTGGGACCTTGGGATGGGATGTTTTCTATTTCTTTTAAACTATCAGCACCTGCACGGGTGCCCCCACCGCGCATGACCCAAGAGCACGGTGCGACCAACCGTGCGGGTCCTGCCGACCGGGCGCTTCAGGTCAGGGTCCGATGGTCGATCTTCGTCGTACTGTTGCTCTTGTTTGCTGCTGGCACCTCAGCCGGGACCCACGCGCAGCGCAGCGCTCTGGGCGCAGCGCGGCAAGTGCTGCTGCGAGGCAAAAAGACTTGTGCTTTCTGACAGGTGTGGCTGGCACTGGCCACGCACAGACCACAGAAAAGTGCAGTGGTCTCTCAGGCCAGAGTCTACATCAAGCAGGGCTTCTTTGTAGTTTCGCCTCCTGACTCGATGAGAAGAGGCGATGTTGGATGATTGTTGGACTCGTGCCATGCTGGGAGTCCTGAGTCCAAACTTATATACCTTGTGCTGCCATGCTGCGTGGATTCTGAGGTATGGTCTTGGAATCTACATGTTAAATCTTTTCATCAATTTCCTGTCACCTGCCTGAGACTCAGGATTTGAATTTGACTCAGGATTTGAATCTGATCTTCACCTGTGCCCTCCTTCCCAGCTTGACCCACTCGTTTTCACGGTCCCGCTGTCGCCCATCTCCACCAGCTGGGCCAAGCAGCTCTGCACTCAGGCAGTGGATCCAGACACAGAAGAGACCAGCTTGCCAATGAAGGAATCCACGGAATATCGGCAGGGCACCTTAGACCCACCGACAACCCTTGCATACCCCACCACCGTTCAACCCCTCCGAACGGCCAGAGCCTTTCGGACATATCCGCTCCTCCAACCGAGAACCTCGGTTTCACGCTCCAGGCAGGTTGCAGCTGGAAAACTGCTCTCATGGCTCGTTTTTAGCTCAAAATTGCAAGTAAACCTTGAGTACACCCTAAAACATCTATAACATGGTGGAGGTGCTCCACCCCGGTGATGTGGTCTTCAAAGGCCGCAGAGTAAATAAAAAACTGGGGCTTTGCATCGACTCCCACTGAGCATGGCTAAGATGAGTCGTTTGGAGCCCGATCCGGTTTTTTGGATCAGTTTGGTTAGCTCGGTTTGGACCAGCAACCAAAAGTCACTGGTTTCGGACTGAGGGTTGTATGCTTCGAAATCCATGACCGCCCGGCCAACACAGAGTATTTGGGCACACCAAAGCTAATGGACACATGTTCACAACATTTGTCGTCCCCAAAGCCATGGGTGAAGGTCAAAACCACGCGAAGTGATCCCTGTCTCCGTCGGACAACATCCTATAGTTTGGGTGGGTCGCCGGTGAAGGGGCCGACTCTCCCATGACCATCCCCAAGAGGTCCCCCAAGGGGCTAAGCCCGAGATTTTGTTCTTATAATCTTATACACATTTGGTCGCGCTTTGAGCTGCTGCGCCAGCTGAGGCCGTTTACTCGCAAGCTGCCAGAGTTCAAGTTCTGGTGGAGTGGAGCCCGCGCCACCGCGGTGGCTTTGGCCGGAGCCCCAGCTCAGGAGCTTTGGGTATATGGCTGAGCTCGCAAGCAGCTTGTGTGGCTTGTGTATGCTTGTGTTTGTCACAAGGATTCAGAGAGAATCTACAATCATTTTATGTCATCTTCAAGTATATATATATATATACAGTATATTCAGACAGATTCTGATCGAACCTGGAGCATTTCCCATCTGATAGGGCCACACCACACGTTGGACTGTTGTTCCAGCTTCTATCGTCTGCTTGGCGACTTGTTTGGCACCTCACTTGTGATTCGGAACTTGGCACTGAGGGCATGACTTTTATCCCATTCTTTGATTTGCCGGCCGGATGCTGAAACTTTCCCGACACACGTGACACTACCAATTCTCTGAATGGAGCACAGAGACAGAGAGAGAGAGAGAGAGCGCGCCAGCGAGCGCACGTGAGCTGAGTGAGCACCAAGGTCTACTGGCCCATCCTCTTAGCCTATTTCATCTTGCTTTTGGCTCCTTGACGGGTAACACTTTTCTCGACTCCGAGGTGGCACCCAAGAGCTGTGTCTGCGCTCAGCGCCCAGGTTTTGACCATGAAGGACCGAGTGAAGCACATGATTAAGCACAAGCCCGGCTCCCGGGGTAGCTTCCAAACCGTTTGCCACGGAAGATGTTCAAAACTTGGCGTTCAATGCTGGAAGTTCGGTTTTTGGTGTTCAACGAGGTATGTGCCCTTCAACTTTGGGAAGCAGACATATGGCGAGCTGTCAAAGGTGAAGGCGAAAGGGCTTGGGACCATAGCCGGCCTTTGAGTCTCCTTTTGTTGTTCACCATGTCTCACTGGCTTTACTATGTCAGAAAGAGCTGCGGTACGGATCGACATCGACATCGGACGGGAGGTGCCTGGTGGTGAGAAGAATGACAAATGACATTTGGGCCGACCAGATTGATGTCGGGGGCGTAGTGAGTTCCCGTGGCGGGGCACCGTGCTCAAAGGCAGTCGCCGCTCGCCGAAGCTACTCTTGATCCCATGAGCGACACATGGGAGTGACACAAATGTCACAAGGTACAGAAGAAGTCTTTTTAGTGCTTGTATCTTTTTTAAAAGTCCTCACACGTTTGTTGGATCATAGAGTGCTTATGTGCAGACTAAACCACATGAAACCACAATCTTTTTGCTGGCAACGTGTCAATGATCTTTTTATTTGCTGCTATGACCAATGCGACGTCCAGCAGCTTTCAAGCTATCAGGATGCTGGTTTCACTGCAATCTGTCTTCATTGGACATTGCCAAATGTTGTCACCATGAATCAGTTGGTTTTGGAGGACCAGATTGCCTCGGTAGCTCAGCCAACCTAGTGTTTCGTGGACGCCAGTTCTCCGTGCACAAAAGCCACAATTTCCAAGAGAAGCTCATGTCGACTCATGTCCGTTTCTTGTGTGTGATTGAAGAGAAGCGCTTCTTATCTCTTCTCGCTTGTGGTAGGTTTACCGGGTCAATGCCTTTGCTGACATGAAAGGCGTTTGCCTTGGTGATTTGAGGCTCCAGAAAGAGGGGCCGTGCGTGAGGGCCCCGCTGTGCAACAGGGGCTTGGTAGTGCTTAGGTAGCTTTGTTCACTTGCAGACTCCAGTTCATCATCAGCTCACATGACTCTCTACCCTTGAGATAGACATCGCAGCATATTTCACCAGTGCAGTACTGGAGTGTGTCACGCCTTCCGCAGCGCGTCACGTTAGATAGTGTGGAGAACAGATCAGATTGGCGGGGGCCTCAAGTGTCGGGGCAGCATTGTCATTGGGGTTTGCCTTAAAACTGATCGGGAGATCACCAAGGGCTTTTGTCACAATTGATAGTCATTTTCTCCTCAATTAGAGGTGCAGATGTCAGCTTGACTCACTGCTTCGCCGCGCTCTGTTTGGGCCGCCAACCGGACTCGAATGACTGGTACCGCGTGCGAGGTCGGTGCCCCCATGGCCACGCGCGAGGCGGCGCAGTTCTATGGCCAAGCGGAGTCAGCACTGCGCGACGAACAGTTTGAGGTTCGGGTCAACGGAAAGAGGGCGGGGGAGCAGCGGGTAAGGCCGGTGGGGTAAACGAAATCATCTTCGGTTTAAACACCAGTTGGTTGTGCAGTTTGGGCTTGGCTTGGATGTGTCAAATTGGAAGTCTAAGTATATCATCGTCATTTTCATCTTCATCTTCATCCTCCTCCTCCTCATCCTCCTCATCCTCCTCATCCCCATCCCCATCTTCATCCTCATACTCATCCATTGTTAGTGGTCATTGGATACACCCTAGTTTGCTTGAAACGGCCAACCTTGGTGAGCCGTCGAAGAATTGCCTAAGAGCTTGATCGTTTTTGCTTTTGGCCAAGACTTGTGCAATTTCTTCCATGAGTTGGACGTTTTGGCTGTTCAAGCACTATACAGTAATTGTTACGTATAGAAGGATTAGAAGGTGCGTTTTCTCCCAAGGTGTTGCCATTGAGCAGGTTGTGACCACCTTTACGCAAAAGAACCTGGCACATGATTGGTGTTTGGACACGTCAGATGAACAGAAACGGCTTCCACGGACAGATCACAGAATACCATATGACAATATGGCTTTCTTTTGACTTGCATGTCCCCCCAGACTCTGTCTGTCGGAGTGGGTGTCCCAGGTAGTCAACCCACAGCCATCTGTCCTGTTTCTTTCACCAGTGACCCATGTCCTGCTTCCTTCGAAGTCACAGGACAGTGTGACCTTTGCTCAAAAAGCCGTGCAGATTTTCGAAGGCTTAGGAGCCGAAGGCAGGTTTCTGGGGGTCGGCTGGGGGCCAAAGGAGAGGGTCTTTTTCGGCGATTCACATGTTTGTTCGGTGCAAAAGCTGGAGTGTACTGGGTGCCACTTGGTAGTCGTGGTTTGGATTCCCTTGAGTCCCTTGGCGGTCAGGCAAGTCTGGGATGGTCCTGGATGGTGTCAAAGACGGACTCTATTCTGAAGTCTTTTTTGGGACAACCCACATGGACCACCAGGTGAGATGGACGGCTAGGTGGAGGGACATGGAGCGCCAGTTTTTGAACCCACCAAATTCAACTGGGAGCAAGTCGTTTGCGTTGAGGGATGCGGAAGCGACCCAAGATCGCAAGTGGCACGTGGATTCCAATTCCAACACGACTTAAGAGGTTGCCTTGTGACTGGTGGCCTAGTGTGCTCCAGGCGTCTCGGGGCTCATTGATGCCCTCTACATCCTCATCGATGCTCATCGACAGATGGCAACCACCATGCAGGAGAAGCCACAGAATGCAGCTTGCCTGGCTTACCTGGGCTGGAAAAGGGAGGTGCATTTTTGTTGAGGATTTTGTTGAGGAACATTTCGCTGTGTTTTTTGTTTTTGTTGTTTCTCCTGGTCGGTACTCAAGGGAAGGAAGGGAGGAAGGAAGGAAAGAAAGGGAGGGAAGGAAGGAAGGAAGAAAGAAAGAAAGGACAAAGGAAGAAAGAAAGAAAAGAAGGACAAAGGAAGTCAGGAAGACAGACAGGAAGACACACAGGAAGAAAGCAAGAAAGGAAAGAAAAGAAGAAAGGAAGGAAGAAAGAAAGGACGAGAGGAAAAAAGCAAGAAAGGAAGAAAGAAAGGAAGAAAGACAGAAAGAGAGACAGACAGACGGACAGACAGACAGACAGACAGACCGACCGACAGACAGACAGGCAGACAGAAAGAAGACATAAAGGAACAAAGGAAGGACAGAAGGAAGCACGGAGGGAAGGAAAGGGAAAGGGAAAGGGAAGGGGAAGGGAAGGGAAGGCAAGCAGGGAGAAAAGTTTGAGAGGAAGAAGGGAATATACTTAAAACACAGAAGGTTACATAAGGTTGCAATGCACTCCCTCAGTTGTGCGCTTTCTAGGTGTGGCCCCAAGAGAACAGAGTGTTTGGTAGATTGGCTCCTTCCTTCGGGCACGTGACAGTTTATATATAGTTGGACGGGGCCGTTCCAACGTAGAATACCTTTTTTGAGACGCCCAACAGTAAAATTTAGGCAAGGAGCCATGGAAACTTGGAGCCGCACGAGGTAGCATATCTTTGTGAGAGGTTCAAACGTAGCAAAGTTGTGTGACCCACCCGCCCACCCGAAGGTAACATCTAGAGGAGCAAGGGGCCATTCCAACCTGGAATACTATTTGTGGCCACCCAAAGGCCAAATTAACAGGAGACAGCCACCCGAACAGAATTACAATTTAGGCAATTCCAAGGTAGCACACCTTTTCGTTGAGTTTTAATTTAGAGAAGGAAGGGGCCATTCCAACGTAGCATACCAGCCACGTGACAACACCAAGGATAACATTTAGAGGAGGAAGGAACACCCTAAAACAAAAAAAACCTTATGGCAAAGCAACACTTGTCGAATACTTTGATATAAAAAAACATCATAATAATATTCCTTGCGGAATGTTTCACCACGTGTTGCTGCAATATGAAGCTGGATGATAAGGACTACCAGGTGTTTGCCATCTGATTTCCACCAGGTTTTCCAACACATGTAGACATAGAACCCGCAAATCCGCACAACGACCAGGTTTTTGCCACCTGACATAAGACCGGGATGCTAAGATCAGCACTCCGACGTTCACAAAGTGCCGCGCCTTTCGCGACATCTGCATTTCCAGCCATCCAAAAGCACAAAAAAACAACAAAACAAACACAAAACCACAAAATAAATCCGGGCCCTGAACAAAGCGGAACTGAACTGGTCGGAGAGATACAGGATTTATCCGCGCCAGGGGCTGGGTTGGGCGACTGGGTGCTTTCTGTTCCCAGCGAGTGTCCGAAGTTCGTCAGACACCTTTTGCAATGGAAATTCATTGTTGTTCTAACTTTTGCTCACCGACCTCTCACAGTGAAACACACGGAGATGCGATGATTTCTGCATGTTTTCTGGATTGTTCAGCGGCGTCTCCTTCGCGGAATCCTCAATTTCGCCTCCTGAGGCTTTGTCCATCAGTGGCCAGTACCTTGAGAAGTTCAAGGTGGGACGTGATTTTTGAGCAAAACGCCGCACAGGCGCACAGGTGCACAGGTAGGGATCTTAATGGACAACCACATGGCGCTGATTTTTCATGGTTTATCTTTAGAGGGGGACAAGCTATCAGATTGCATCTCCCTGCTTCCAGTTGCCAGGGAAAAAACCATGGGTTTCCACACTAGTCTTCACTAAATGGGGAGGGACTTCTGTGACAAACATTAGGTGCAGATAGGTGCTGTGCGGACACGTGCATGCTGCGGCCGCAGCATTTGCGGCCGAGGAAAGGAGCCCGTGCGGCCTTTGCACGTACAGCAAGAGTTGTCAAACGAAATGGAACGCATGTGGAACCCTTGATTTAACATGATTTCACCATCATTGGACCCTCCTCATCCGCCTTGGATCCAAAGTTTTCAAATTGCCAGGCCTGAATCCTTACAAAATCGTGCAAACATGTCCTCCGACCTCCCATCGTGTTCCTCGTTTCACGGCGGTGCCCGCTTCCGGGCACCGCCGTGACGCGACGCGACGCGCAAGGCCAGCCGAGATCGTCGTGGGGAGGCTGTGATGCTGCTGTGTTTAGCAGAGTGAGGGCGCCTGGACGGAGAGAGAGCGAGCTGGGCTGGAAGGAATGGGGTGGTACAAGACTTGGTTGTGCGACGTCCTTGGGATTTTTCTTGCTATATTGGTTTTCTTGATTTGGGTCTGAACTGTCCAAGGTGGTCTGGGCAGACTCTTGACCCACAGCATGTCGCTGCATGTCTTGGTTCGTCTACTCTGTGCGGTTTTGGGTGAGTCGAAGCCATGCACCTTTTTCCAACCCCCACTGCCAGCTGAATCTGAATCACCCTAAGCCTAAGATTTCGTTCAAAGGTCGGATGTCCCGCTCTCCGCTCTTGTCCTTGGGCAGATCGAACCGCTCGTCACCCGCAGGATCAACCACGACAAGCGCGGCCGCAAGAAGCGCCAGGAGGCGCTGGAGACGGCAGCGGAGGCGCTGCGGATCTTCTCGGAGGTGCAGGACCGGAAGTTCGAGGCACCACCGGCCGGACGTGCGAAACGCGGCGGGTGGATGAGGGTGGTATTGGTCCTTGGTGGCCGAAGAGGTCGCGCGGGTGACTGCCTTTGTTTGAAACGGAGCTGCTTTTAGATCGGCTGCAGTTTGGAAGGCTGGGGCTGGGGCTGGGTGTTCGGTGTGGATACGTGAGCTGACAAGTAGGGACAGAGAGGTCTTTGGAATGCTGTGGAGGTGGAGAGGAAAGGGCGGTCATGCGGGGGTGCTATGTTTTCTTTCTACAGATTCTACAGCTTCGTATTGCTTGACACGATCAACCCCACCAAGGGATGAGTCTTTGGTTCAATGGCGGTATTTGGGAGTATAATCCGCTAGGAATAGTTATTGTCGAGTCACGATGCCTATTTGATGCTGACAATGGCCAGACAGGTGAGGCCAATTTTTCCATGGCTTTGGGCAATCGGGCAACTCACACAAGAACCTTGCCACTGGCCATAAAAATGCCGGCGGTAGACAACCATGAACATCACGATCGACCGATTCACCTGTTTGAGAATCTTTGGAATTTATGTATAATATATATATATATATATACAGCTGTTTGGACTTGTCAAAACACTTTTGCTTTGATGTCCCGGAAACCTAAGTACGTGAGAGAGATACACCATGATACACCTGAAAAACCAGGTGCCCGGTGTCATCCCAAAACACCGCTTCGACCAACTGCCGCGCGAATGTTCCGCGAGCAGTTGGTCGATTTGATCAACTGACGGGCAGTGATGTTTACAGCTTCCCTCAAGATGTCCGTTCGACAGATGGGGCTTCATATAAATCACCGCAACGCCCTGGTGCCCTTGGCAACTTGGTCCTCTCAATCCACCGGTCACCATTTCTTCGACCGTTGGGTTAGGCCCTGACGTTGATGGTCACGGCCATGGCTCACTACAAGTTCTTTATGTATGATGCGATGCTCGAGGACCCGGCCTGCTCCGCTACTTCCTTTTGGTCTACTTGCTTCTGAGAAAATGAAGCCCAGAAGGCCATTGATCGTTCGTGTTTGTGGTTCACCATTGATTCTTTTTGGTCGAGAGAGCGGTTGATTGATGGTGGATGGTTTTGAACAGAACAGAAACAACAGTGATCACACATTTATATATGTGTTCGTTCTTCGGATTCGGTCGAATCTCTCGTATGTAGATTACCAAGTTTTTCTGTCGTCCACCAAAAGTCATCTTCTCTCGGGGTTCAGAACGCGATGAGGGCACCTTTCTGAGCACCTGAGATTGACCGTGTGAATCGACGGCAAAGCTCTTGCTCGCCTCGTGCGGCGAGCCGTCCGAATAACAGCTTGACGGCACTTGGAGCCCACTTGGAGCCACATGAATGCGAGCAGCCCAACAGAAACACTGAATTACTCTCCCTCGAACTAACATGGAAGTGGAAAACCACCTGTTTGTATTGGAAAATGGTCTTTGAAGGGGCCATTCTCCATGTTAGTTCCAGGGAGTGTACAAATCACTTGACGCAGCCCTCATTCGTCTGCAGGAGGCGACCCGGAGCTTGGACATTGCGGAGGAGTTGGGTGACAAGTTCCTGACTGGCCGAGCACAGAACCTCACCGGGCTTGCTTTGAGCTCCCAGAGGAGAGGGATGGAACTGAAACCTGGGGAGGGGCATTTGGTCGGTACATCGGTTTGACATGGTGAGAAGCTGTAATTTCCACTGAAGGACCTTTCCAAGCTGAAGGACATGGTGCTACCAGAGGTCAGATAACAGAGACTGACGAAGAATGAGCACCAGCGTCTAGACCACCCTCCAGTAATCATCATCATTTCCCCTGTTGGACACCCAAGGTGTCCAGCAAGCACCACAAGCCGGGGCATGAGTTGACCGCAGGAGGATTGATGATGCCATGGAAAGGGGGAGAGCCGCCTTAGCGATATGGCGAGAACTTGGGATGAGGTGGCTTGATGCTGTGAAGCCTCCTGAGAAGGTTCCTGAAACGGTGGTTTCTGCTGGAAGACTGCAGCTTGAGCGGTCAGAGGAAGAATTTGGAGAATGTCGGGTATATTACAGGGCGCCCACACCGTCATCAAAGTGAATTGGAGGCTCGATATCCTGGTACTGATACTCTCTTGCCAATTTGGAGAAGTAGCTATCCCTGTCCACCTAGACTCTATCCCCAACTACGAAAAAACAACACTCCCCCTGCAATGCAGGCCCCACAACAATTTTGCTCCCACCTCCACGAACTGGCCACCTGGAACGTGGCTCTGGAGCCTGCCCCTGGATCGTATCACATGGTCTTGGTCGGACCGCCACACTTCTTTTTCGGAGCCGGTGGGCGGTTGTGCAAAAACACATAGAACAAAACGGAAACCGCAAGAAGAGACTAGACCTTTCTGAGGAATGTTCCTTGATAATCCTTGATATAAATCATATTAAAACCATTCTGTCATGGGGTTTGTGGTTTGATTTTTTGACCAAGCTCGAGACGACAAGCGGCGCCCGAGGCGCCAAGAAGCGATCCAGACCCATGCCATGGCGGGTTGGCTGTTGTACAGCCGATGGCCCAAGAAAGCCTTAGCCCTGGCGGAGCAGGCGCAGATCCATGCCGCTAGTCCGATTGAGGAAGAGATGTCCATCCGTCATAGTCCGGTGTCCGATCTTGTTTGGTCTTGCATGGTGGATGTCTTTTGCCTCTCCGGCCTCTCGGACGCCCCTTTCGGGAGAAAGATCGAAAGTGGCCAGACCTTGCAATCCTTCCGAGAGATTGGACCTGCGGGCATTCCTTCTGGCGCAAAGCATCGCAGAGAGGCAGTGGGTCGCCCACATCGGGGTGGATCCGGAAAGAGGTGTGTGGGTCCCCCAAGCGAGACGAGCCGTGGGAAAACAGGCTCAATTCGGGAAGTCCTTGACATTCGGAGTTTGGAATATATACATAATATATATATATACCTAGATCTCCGAATCTGTTGAAATTTCAACTTACGATCAGGAAAAGAACTTTTCTTGACGTGAAGAAGGATTTTCAACTTTCCGCGATAATCCTCGTTCGAGGCCATTCTGTGATTTTGGGGAGCTTCCCGAATGAGTTCTCGAATGAGTTCTCGAATGACTTCCCGAATGCATCTTTCAAGATGAATCAAAAGGCACCATGTTTGGCCTTGCAAGAGATTACAGAATCGCACAGCATCGAACACAAGGTCACAACATGCATGCCTTTACATTAGGATTGGTGAAATGAAGAACCTCCAGCTTGGAAAATCTGGATTGAGTTGCATGACCGATGCGACACGGCACGGAATCCACATCTTCTCTCGCACACCAGTTTCATCATTTTTCTCGTCATTGACGATCCAGAGCTTCACCTAAAACGCCTATATAGGATCCTAAAGGTCAATCAAACCGACGTATATGTTCCATCTTCACTCCTTCATGCATGGGCCCATGGTTTTCTTCCCTTGCTTTGCTGATCTTGAACACGCCACGGTCCGCCTGGCCTGTTTTGTGGAATTGGGTGTGAAGAGGACTGCATTGTGCATGCACAGGTCAGGTTTGATCGACGTCACTGTTATTGTGTTGCAAATATGCAGCATGCAGCAAATGAGCACTCTTCTTGAAGTCAAAAGAGAGATCGTAATTATATTTTAAACTATAGTTTAACAGATTCGGAGATCCAGGTATGCCTTTAAATGTTCATGCATGCGTGAACACGTTGCAAAGTCAAATGGTGCACTGCATCGGTGGCCCGGTCTCAGCAATCAGTCCGAATGCATCCAAATGCCGCTTCTCCTGCGCAGCTGCTGTTGGCACAAAAAAGGTTTGTTTTGGCTTGACTGCGTGCGCACATGGCAATTGTCCAGGAGAGGCCTGATCATGCAATTACATCTTCGGCAGGTGACCGAGTGGGCAACTACTCCCTTCAGGGTCTTCATGTTGAATGGGACAACATGAAGGAAGTGAGGGATAGGCTTCGCAAGAACTCTCGCCTGATCATGCATTGGGATCCGGAAACAGAAAAGTTGACAAACATCTACGTGGAAAAGACGCTGATGAACCTTCGACACAATCGAATGCAACTCCGTCCTCTTTTTCTCCGGATGAAAGCCAACCTCTTGCATCTTCCTGGCATCGACAACTTGATCGAAGAGGTCCGAGCCCTCTACCAGTGCGCCAAGTGCAGTGGACCCTATGATGTGCTTTACTGGGAGGCATGGGCTTGCAGGCGCCTACTGAGCCTTGCGAAGAACACGTTGCTGTACCGCAAGTTTCTTTCGGAGGACCATCAGCTATCATGCATATAAAGATTGCAAAACTTGTTGTAGCGAGGTCTTCATTTCGTGCAGTCACCTGTATACACAAAATGGAAGCATCCAAAGAACATGTGGCTTTAATTATAGAATGCACAAATATGGAACGAGTTTTCTATATCCCGCAGGATGATCATGACCTCTTGCAGGTTGCTGCGGACCTGGGCATTGAGGTGAACATCAGGCGAAAGGACAGCCCATCTGAATCTGTGTCCCTTGGTCAACCATATCCCATCATGGATGACCCAGAGCATGCTGGGGCTGGAGATCCGGCAGCTTCATTGTCATCGCCTCCAGCGCCAAATGATTCACCTTCTGTTGAAGTGCCAGCCCCTCTTCCTCGAGTGTCTTCAACGCCAGTGTTTGAGACGCCTGCAGAGCCAGGGGTTGCAGCACCTAAAGCTGCGCCTGAAGCAGCGCCTGAAGCACCGCCTGAAGCAGCACCTGGTTCTGGACCCAGCTCTGACGGAGATGGTGTTCGACGACAGTTGATGTTGGAGGAGCTGGCCGCTTGCCGTTTCAGACCTTTTGCCAATCAGCCAGTGATCAGAAGAAGAGTGCCATTTGAACGAAATCTTCGTCAGACCACTTTGGAAGAATTTGGACTCTGCCGGCTGCGTGCTAAGGAATCACAACCAATCACGGAGTACTACTCTCCCGAGGCTGTTGTGACTAAGGGCGCTGCAGCTGGCTATGCAAAACAAGCAGTGCAACAGGCATCAACCTATGCAGAAAATTTCTCGTGTCAAATGTCAAACAGGTTACAACAATAATATACAGCTGTTCATGAAACTGTGTTGCTACAATGGCTGGCATATGCTGGCATGCAATCTTATATGGCCATGTGTGTGCATTCCCTGTTGCATGCAGTGCCATTCGATATCGGGGACAAACCTTGAAGTCTTTGCTTGCGCACGCAGGGGGCCATTTGCATCGATGATTCTGATGCTGAATGTGGCGGTGTTGGTTTGGAGGAAGAGCTGGTGAAGGTTTTGGAAGCTATCGATCGACTCGAGCTACTTAGTCGCCAAAAAGAAACCTGTCTATAGTTTCCAATGCCGATAGAACGAACTTTAAAGATCTTCGACCTGAATACTTTGAATGCATGCAAAATGTTTTTCCTTGTGCAAGCCACCCCTGTTTGCATGTCCAAAAACAACGCATGCCAATCCACTATCAGTGCTCGCGCACCGCGCACGCCACTCACCCAGGTTGAGCCAGGCCTCAGCAGAGCTGTTGAGCACGAAGCCTGCGCCAGCGGAGCCTGCACCAGCGGAGGCGTCTGCTCCTGGATCGGGCGCTTTGGCGGAAGGCTTGGGGCACCTCACAACGAATCTCCAGCTTCACATGTTCTGAGGTACACTGTATGGAACAGCATGCGCCGTATAAATCAAATGAAGCAATGCATGGGTTTGGATTATCGGTTGTGTTCTCAAACTCAGTGATGCAAATTGGATCCTGCATGTGGCATGTGGGATGTATGGTGCAGGTTCTCAGCCGACCATGGTGCATGAATCACTTCCAGCCCTCGGGGACGATGAAGAGACCCAAATGTTAGTCCAAGCAGAGGATTTTGAGCACACGCCTGCCATGAAAGCGATGTTGAAGACGGAGGATGCGAACAGAGCTGCCGCGCTTTCACAGAGCCATGAGGAGAAGTGCAGTTTCACATGTTTCAACCCTGAAAAATATGCACATTATGTTTTCTTTTGTGGACTTCATCATCGTCATGCGTCCGACCTATATCAGCTCCACCCAGAGTGGTTCAAAACATATTTGTTTGCCTTCTTCAACTTATATAGACCATGGTGAAATCAGGTTTAAAACAATCAAGAACATGCATAGTATGCATAGAAAGTTGCATGGACGCATCCGACATAATGTAAGTACCGTGCGATACGTGCTTTACTCAAACAACACAACTTGTTTAAACACGTGCTTCACACAACATATATAAACAACAACAAAACAAAATACTTGATGAACAAACTGTACTGCATGCACAAAACTGGACTGTATATATTTCCCAGCAACGCCAGACCTTAAATATATATAGCCGATCTGAGTCGCATTCTCCCTGAAGGAGTACCCAGAGGTGCCATCCCATGCTCCTGTGACGCGACGCCGCCAGTTTGGAATGAAAGAGGACAATGAAGAGGCGAAGGCAGACAAGAAAAAGGATCGTAAAAGAAAGAGAGACCAAGGTGAAGAGAAAAGCAAGAAGGGTCGAGGTGCAAATAACAAGAGCAAGGCCAGCAAAGCTGCCAAAAGCAAAGGTGGCAAACGGCAAGCCAAGGCTGCTGCCAAGAGAAAGGCGAACAAGAAAGGCAAGAAAGGGTGCACCAGCCCATCCAAGCAGAAGCTGAAGCTTCTGCGCAAAGCAAAACATTTGTCACCATCGAAGTCACCGCAGTCGTCGGAGAGGGAGGAGAACAAACCCCCATCTCCAGTGGCCAAGATTGAGCGTGCATCGTCATCGGAAGGGCCACCAGACTTTGTCCAGAAGAAAGATCGAAAGAGAAAGCAGAACCAAAGCAAACCGACCAAGTCCAACGCAGCCAAACAGGAGCCTCCAGCAAAGAAGACAGTGGCAAAGCCAGAGAAGAACAACAAGAAGAAGGATAAGAAAGCCGAAACCGATTCCAACTTTGACCACTATCTGCTTTGCATCAACAAGGTGCTGGATGAGTGTGAGTCAACCAGCTGCATTCACCCTGATGCCTTTGACGGGTCGGCGCCTGACCAGTTCTCAATTTCGTGCTATTGGACGAGGCATGCTGCCGGAGTCAAGGTCAACAAGGATCGCTTAGTGCCAGAACTCAAACAGAGAGAGAAAAAAAGAAGACAGATGGCAAGAATCCAAAGAAGGCATACAAGTCCAAGCAGGTCAGCCAGATTGCGTACTTTGCGCGTGGGGGCTGTGTCTATGTCAATATCAAAATGGCTCAACTCTTTGCCCTTTGGTCGCACTTTGTGCGGTAAACTCTTCATTTATAGCAACGCATTCCTATAGTATACAAAGAACACGCATGACAAACGCTTATAATAGTTGTCACTCCGCATTTCCCGCAACTTCACCACCGGTTCACCCCCAGTGTCCTGTGTCTGGAACTCCCAAGGTCGAGAAGATGGCAGATTGCGATGGCACCCTGTCCAATGCTACGATCAAGCCAGTTGTTGAATGCTTGAAGCGGGCTCAGCGGAAGGCTTTTGAGGACCGGGGCTACAGCCTCAAGGCTCACTGTGTACAGGATCCAGAGAATGGCGAAGCGTAATTGGGAAGAGCAGCCAGGGCCCCTAACATTTCTATGGAGACCTGTTCACCTATCCTGCAATTTGAGTGTTTACCTGATGGTTCAACATGACATGCACCCAAAAGACTATACCCATCAGTTTTGCAGGTGGTGCTGATTTTATTATGGCTGCGTCCCAAGCGTTCAAGTCAGGCTGTTTGTGGTTGCCTGCCCTTTACGGAAGTTAAAGCGGCACTGGTGCAATCGGGGT